GCTGCTCAGCGGCGAGACGGGCTGAGCACGGAGTGCGCGGGGCCCCTGCCGAAGGGGAAGGTGAACTCAAATATTGATGCGAAGCGGGAGCGGCGGGACCGGCTCCTACGTGGACAGCACCCGCAGGCGGGTGAGCCGCGTCTGGAACCAGTTCCGCGCGGAGGTGAAGCACGCCGTTGAGGTCGTGGAGGTGGCGGCCCGCGCGTGGGTGTTCTATCTGTAGAACGGCGTGGGCCGAGCTCCGCGTGGCCAGCGCGGTGCGGGGGGGGCCTCTGCTGGGACCCAGCGGGGCCTCTGAGGGAGCAACAAAAAACGATTTGGGCGCTTTTTGGGGGGCCTCTTGGGGCTTCGTGGGGTATCTTTGTGGGCCTCTGGCAGGCCTCCTGGGCGCCTCTCGGGGCCTCTTGGGGCTTCTTGGCGGCCTCTCGGGGCCTCCTGGGGGGCCGCTTTTTCGGGGCGCAGGTGTAGGATGTTCGGTTCGTGGTTCCTTGTTTTTGCCCCTCTTGGGGCCGTGTGTGGGACCTCCTGGGCCGTCTTGAGCGCTTTTTTGGGCCATCTTGGAGCCATCTTGGGCCGTCTTGGGGCGCTCTTGGAGGTTTTTTCGGCTGTCTTGGGGCGGTCTTGCGAGCTTCTTGAGCCGTCTTGGAGCGTCGGATCGCTGAAAATGCGAGAAGACCAACATCCTTCAAACACATTTTTGTAAAATCGACGATTTTGGCCTCTTGGGGGTCTCTCGGGGGGCCTCTTGGGGCGCTCTTGGGGCCTCTCGGGGCGCCTTGTGGCACTCTTGGCTTCGGCAACGCGAACGCGGCGTAATTTGCAAAGGTTTCTGCTTTCGGGGGCGCGACTCTGGTGTAATTTACGTAGGCTTGCTGCCTCGGGGGCGCAAGAACTTTGTGGCATCGGGGGTGCGAACATTGTTTTATATACGAGAGATTATGGCCTCGGGGGCGCGAATCTCAAGTATTTCTATGTGTCCCACGCCCCCCCCCGGGAATTCGAGAACGGGCTCTTCTGGGAGCCCCCCCCGGGGTGGGACAATTTCACAACAAGAAAAACACCCAGAAAGAAGATGCGCCATCCATCCACCATGAGAGTGAAAGAGAGAGAGAGAGAGAGAAACTGCCTCACAAGGAATCTCTCTGTAAGGCCGCCACAAGCCACAAAGGGAATCCCTTTGTAAGGCCGCCACAAAGGAATCAATATGCAACGCCGCCGCCACTCCCTCCTCCCCTGCACCCCTAATCGATTTGTAGTGTACCCTATTGGAGGAGGAGGGGGGGCAGGGGAGAGGGGAGGGGATCCGCCAGAGGAGGTCTGCCAGGTTTCTAAATTCCTTCAACTTTTTAAAGCTTTAAAGTTTCTAAGTCGGAGAACCAGGTTTCGCTTCAGACTCCCTCCAAACGTTTTAAATCTATCGGGCTTGGCCCGCATACAATTCGGAGGGGGTCTCAAGGGACACCAGCTTTTTCATTGTTTGTTTGTTCGATTGCATTCGCAAGGGAAAGACACTTTCGCTTGAGACTCCCTCAGAATTCCAGGCGGGCCAAACCCACTGGATTTAAACAGTTCTGGGGGAGTCTCAAGCGAAACCTTGTTTTCCGAATCATTACAAAAATTAGCCTGGCGAAGAACCCAACCATATGCAGTTGTCAGTACCGCAGCTGCGGGTATCATCTTCAATGGAACTCCCCATAGGATTACGGAACGTGGGAGGGGTGTGCCGAGATGGGTGCCACTGGGGCATTCGGCGAAGCTCCCTATGGGGACATGAAACACGCGCGGGGCGTGCCGACATGGGTGGCGGAAACGCATGTGCGGGCCGCCACTGGGGCCTCCAGTGGAGCTCCCTATGGGTCCTCGAAACATGATGCTGCTGCGGGGGGGGGGGCCGGGATGGGTGGCGGAGACGCATGTAAGCGCCGCTACTGGGGCCTTCGGTGGAGCTCCCTATGGGGCCACGCAGCGCGTGAGGGGTGTACTGGGATGTGTGGCGGGGACGCATGTGAGCGCCGACACTGGGGCCTTCGGTGCAGCTCTCTATGGGGCCACGAAACGTGTGAGGGGTGTGCCGAATTGGGTGCGGGTGGTGACGCATGCGGGCGGCAGCACTGGGGCATTCGGTGGAGCTCCCCATGGGGCCACGAAACCTGTTGTTGTGAGGGGCGTGCCGGGATGGGTGGCGGGGACGCATGTGAGCGCGGCCGCTGGGGCCTTCGGTGGAGCTCCCTATGGGGCCACGAAACGTGTGAGGGGTGTGCCGAATTGGGGGGGTGTGGGTGACGCATGTGAGCGCCGCCACTGTGGCCTCCGGTGGATGATGGGGCCACGAAACCTGTCAGGGATGTGCCGAAATGGGTGTGCGGGACGCATGCGCATGTGAGCGCCGCCACTGGGGCCTTCGGTGGAGCTCCCTATGGAGCCACGAAGCGTGTGAGGGGTGTGCCGAAATGGGGTGTGGAACCGCATGCGAGCGCAGCCACTGCGGCGTTCGGTGGAGCTCCCTATGGGGCCACGAAACCGATATGAGGGGTGTGCGGAAATTTGTGAGGGTGGGACGCAATGTGGGCGCGGGGCACTGGGGCCTTTCGGTGGAGCTCCCTATGGAGCACGAAAACGTGTGAGGGGGTGCCGAAATGGGTGTGCTGCTGGACGCATGCAGGGCGCGGGAAATGGGGCCTTCGGTTGGAGCTCCCTATGCACACGAAACGGTGAGGGGGTGACGAAAAAAAAATTGGGCGTGGATGACTCAATTGCGGGGCGCGGGCACTGGGCGCTTCGGCGGAGGCATTCCCTTATGGGGCCACCGAAACGTGTGAGGGGTGTGCCGGAAGGGTGGGCTGCCGCATGCTGCCGCGGGCACGGGGACTTCCGGTGGAGCTCCCCTACGGAGCCACGACGTGTGTGAGGGGTGTGCGAAATGGTGTCTAGTCGGCGCGTGCGGCGCGGTCAATGGGGCTTCAGGCGGAAGCTCCTATGGAGCCACGAAGCGGTGAGGGGTGTGCCGAAATGGGTGTGGGGGACGCATGCGGCCGCGGGCACTGGGGCCTTCGGTGGAGCTCCCTATGGAGCCACGAAACGTGTGAGGGGTGTGCCGAAATGGGTGTGGGGGACGCATGCGGCCGCGGGCACTGGGGCCTTCGGTGGAGCTCCTATGGAGCCACGAAACGTGTGAGGAGTGTGCCGAAATGGGTGTGGGTGACGCATGCGGCCGCGGGCACTGGGGCCTTCGGTGGAGCTCCCTATGGAGCCACGAAACGTGTGAGGGGTGTGCCGAAATGGGCGTGGGTGGCGCATGCGGGCGCGGGCACTGGGGCCTTCGGTGGAGCTCCCTATGGAGCCACGAAACGTGGAGGGGTGTGCCGAAAGGGTGTGGGTGGACGATGACGGGGTAGGGCTACTGGGGGCTTCGGTGGAGCTCCCTATGGAGCCACGAAGCGTGTGAGGGGTGTGCCGAAATGGGTGTGGGTGACGCATGCGGGCGCGGGCACTGGGGCCTTCGGTGGAGTTCCCTATGGAGCCACGATGCGGTGTACTGGGTGGGTGAAGAGGAGAGGAGGAGAGGAGGGGAGGAGAGGAGGCGGAGGAGGAGAGGAGGAAGGAGACGCGGGGCACCGTCTCCTCAAAACGAGGACCCAACACCACAGGATGGTTGGGAAATAAGGAAAGTAAGAAATCTGGCAGGCCCCCTCTGGCATAATCCGTTTGTAAGGTCGCCACCGACGGAATCCCTTTCTAAGGCCGCCGCACAAGGAATCCCTTTGTAAGGCCGCCGCACATGGAATCACTGTGCAAGGCCGCTATCCCCCTCCCCCCTCCCTCCACCCCCTTTAATCGATTCCGATTGTATTTCTATGGAAGGGGAACGGGGCGAGGACGGGGGAGGAGGGGATCTGCCAGTGGCCAGCTGGACCTCTCCCCCCCCATCACCATCACCACCAAAACAACACGACCATTTTGCTTTGCCATTATCATCCTTCCTCCTCCGTTTCCCCACGCCCAGAGGGAAGAAGGGAGGAGGGGCGGGAGGGGCGAGGAGGAGGAGGAGGAGGAGGAGGAGGAGGAGGAGGAGGAGGGGGAGGAGTCCTAGGAAAGCACGAGACGAAAAGGCGGGGGGGGGGAAGGCGCCCATCCCTCCTCGTCCTCTTCTCCCTCCGATCTTTGCTCCCCCTCGCCCCCTCCCCTCCTCTTCCTCTCCAGACACGCGACGCCTTGATTGTTTCAGTACGGCGTCCCCGGAAGGCCCGACCCTTTCCTCAGGACCGGCGTTTCATCCCTAGCCGTTTTTTTCACGGTCCCGGGGCCCGGTGAGGGCTCTTTGGCCGAAAATCGCAAAAACAGGAGGAGGAGGAGAAGGATAAGCATACTTGTGAGGCTCACCTGCGACAGGAATGCAATGATAGAGAAGGTAAGGCCAATACTGCTGAGGCATTACGAGAGCGGACGCGCAGCCCTTTTGGTGTTCAGATTTCCGCAGTGTGTTAGCACTCTGGCAGGCCAGCCCTTCCCGAGAGGGAGAGAGAGAGAGGGAGGGAGAGAGACCACATATCAATAAAACCATAGATGTTGAAAGAGAGAGAGGGAGAGAGAGGCAGAGAAAGAGAGAGAGAGAGAGAGAAAGAGAGAGAGAGAGAGAGATACAGAGAGAGAGAGGGAGAGTGAAATACACACACACATATTTATATATACAGAGAGAGAGAGAGAGAGAGAGAGAGAAAGAAAGAAATAAAGAAAGAAAGAGAAGCGATGAGGATGGGGACGCGAGTGAGACGACAGCGAGGCGGTCGAGGAGGAGAAGGAGGAGAAGGAGCAGCAGCAGCAGCATGATCTGGGGGGGAGGAGGAGGAGGATGTGGAGGAGGGGGGACGCGGAGGAGGAGGAGGAGGGAGGAGGGAGGAGGAGGAGGAGGTGGAGGCAGGAGGGCAGGAGGGGAGGAGGTGGCGGAGGAGGAGGAGGAGGAGGAGGGCCTCGCCGCAGAGAGCCCTGCGGCCGCCCGGGAGGAGTGCGCGAGCCGCGGCGCCCACGTGCTGCTGGGCCCCTGCCTCAACCTGCAGCGCTGGCCGCTGTGCGGCCGGCACTTCGAGTGCTTCTCGGAGGACCCCCCCCCGGGACTCGCCTCCTCCTCCTCCAGTCTGCTCCTCCTCCTCCAGCTCCTCCTCCTCCTCCTCTCCTCCTCCTCTCCTCCTCCTCCTCACTCCTCCTCCTCTCCTCCTCACAGTCGCTCCTCCTCTCCAGTTGCTCCTCTCTCCCAGTCTGCTCCTCCTCCTCCAGTCTGCTCCTCCTCCTCCAGTCTGCTCCTCCTCCTCCAGTATGCTCCTCCTCCTCCAGTCTGCTCCTCCTCCTCCAGTCTGCTCCTCCTCCTCCTCCTCCTCCTCCTCCTCCTACTCCTACTCCTACTCCTACCCCTACTCCTACTCCTACTCCTACTCCTACTCCTACTCCTCCGCGCGCCAGGGAGGGGGCTCCAGCTTAGGTCCAAGAAATCCGCGCGGACCGCCAAAGTCTATGTTCATGCAGTTTTTTGCTCCTCGATGAAAGCCCCGGTCAGAACGCGCCCAAGGTCAGAGGAGGAACAGGAACCCACAGCGATATCCTTCCCTCGTTTTCCACCTCTTGGGGGCCTCCTGGGAGGCCCTCGTCGCCACCGCCGACCGTGCCTCGCGATTCTGGTCGGAGCGCACTTCGGGAGAGGTCCAGGGAGCAGCGGTATCGGTGCCTCTTGGTCTCCCCACCCGCGGCGGCCCGAGGCTTGGTTCTGAGGCGCCGATCTCTGCTGAGGGATGCGGAGAAGGAGGGGGGCGGAGGGAGGAGGGGGAGGAGGCGGGGTGCCCGTTGCTTTCTGTCTACTTTACACACAGTTGCGAGCCAGACGTGCTCGCCTCCTCAGGCCTCTGACCAGGAGCGAGGCCGAAGCCCTCATCCAGGTCGTGCGCGCCCAGCTGTGGCGCTAGAGGGGCGTGGGCGTGGCGGAGACCGAGGCGCCGCGGCCACGCGCGAGGAGGGGGAGGGGGCGGATCGCTTCTGCGCAAGCGTGACCTTTCGCCGGAGTGATCTCTGGGGCCGGGCGCACCGGGGCCCCCAGCTGGCCGAGTGAGGTGCGATGGTGGCGACTGGCGCGCTGCGGTGCGGCCTCCCCGCGGCCCCCGAACGTCGCGCACGAGAGGTCACTCGTGCCTACAGTGCCGTTTTACATACATGCTCCGCGTGCGGATCATGTATTAGAAATGAAGCATGTATTACACATCCTATATGTTTAATAATCCTATGTATTAGAAACTGCCCTGTAGGGTCGCTCTTACAGGTAGCCGAGCGACCAGCGGCGAGCGAGGGCGGGAAGTTTGAAGGATGAGGCCTTCTCGAAAGGCGGCGGGAGTTCTCAGAGGCCCTCGCGCCTTCTGAAAAGCTGTCCTGTGACTTCGGGGAAAGCATAGACAACTTTTTCAGAAGGCCGGGGACTCCCGACCCTTCCTTCCGAGAAGGCCCTTTTTCCCTCCTCGCTCGCCGCCGAGCCGAGGCACGCACTTGATCTGCTACGGGGGGCGACCCCATGTGCATGCAAGGAGAAGCGTCGGCGGCAAGCCCTGGGGGGAAACGAGAAGGAGAAGGCCTTTTCAGAAGGCTCGGAGGTCCCCCAGTCTCCTGAGACGTTCTCTCAACTCTCCGCGAAGGCACAGAAAGCTTCTCAGAAGGCCGGCGGAGGCCTCCTGAGAAACCCCGCCGCCGTCTTTCGGAGATGGGAGCGGGGTGTGGTGTAAAGGGGCGGGGTGCCACTGCTGCATCCGGCGATACCATCCGCCGTCGATCACATCGCGATGTCTCACGATCGGCACCGCACCTTTTTGCCACGCCCCCTCCCTTCCTTCTGAGAAGGCCTTCCTCTTCTCACGTCCTTCCCTCGCTCGCCGCCGAAACGGGGGTCGTGGGAGCTCTCGGGGGGTCGTGGGGGGCTCGACGCCCCCGACAGGAGGAGGCGGCGGAGGAGGAGGAATACGAACGTATAGGATGAGAAGGAGGAGGAGGAGGAGGAGGAGGAGGAGGAGGAGGAGGAGGAGGAGGAGGAGGAGGAGGAGGGGGAGGAGGAGGAGGAGGAGGAGGAGGAGGAGGAGGAGGAGGAGAGGAGGAGGAGGAGGAGGAGGAGGAGGAGGAGGAGAGAGGAGGGGAGGAGGGGAGGAGGAGAGGAGGAGGAAGAGGAGGAGGAGGAGGAGGAGGAGGAGGAGGAGGAGGAGGAGGAGGAGGAGGGGGAGGAGGAGGAGGGAGGAGGAGGAGGAGGAGGGAGGAGAGGAGGAGGAGGAGGAGGAGAGGGAGGAGGGGAGCGCGACAGCTCGGGTGAGGCCCGTGGAGGTGCTCGGGGTGCTCGATGCAGAAGGGCGTCGGGCGGCCGCCAAGAGGCTTGGCGACCGCTTGGGGCCGACTTCTTCGCGGACTGCGTGCCTCAGGCAGCGCCCCGCCACCCCCCCCCCCCACGGAAAGCCGTGGCGCTGAGGAGGGGCGGAGGAGGAGGAGGAGGAGGAGGAGGAGGGGAGGAGGAAGGAGGAGGAGGAGGAGGAGGAGGGGGAGGGGCCTCTCTCCGCCGAGCCGCATGCGCATGCCCCCCCCAGCAAGTGGGCGGATTAGGATTCGCTTCTATCTGCGGGGCAGTCGGCAGGACCAGGCGGGCAACGGCTATCGGCGGTGAGCGAGGGGGGGAATCGGGAGGGAGGAGGCCTTCTCAGAAGGCGGCGGGGGGCTTCTCAGAAGCCCCATCCGGCCTCTCGAGAAGCTGTCTGCGTCTTCGGAGAAGGCTTCGATGGTTTCTTGGGAGGCCGATGGACCCCCGAGCCCTTTGAGCAGGCCCTGCGCTTCTCGCTTCCCCCCCCCCTGTGCCCGCTTCCGAGGTCAGCCCAGCGCGCAGGGTGCCTCGCGGGCTCCGGCCTCTCGAAAAGATTTCTGCATCTTCGGAGAAGGTTTTGATGGTTTCTCGGGAGGCCGAAGGACTTCCGAGCCCTTTGAGAAGGCCCTGCGCTTCTCGCTTCCCCCCAGGGCCCTCCTCCTCCTCCTCCTCCTCCTCCTCCTCCTCCTCCGCATCTTCCTCTCTCTGCTCTTCCTCCTCTACCTCCTTCTCTCCTCCTCATGCTCTCCTCCTCCCCTCCTCCTTCCTATCATCCTCCTCCTCCTCCTCCTCCGCCTCCGAGGTCAGCCCAGCGCGCAGGGCGCCCCGCGGGCTCCGGCGGCGCGCGGGGCACCCTGCAGCAGGCAGGGTGGGAGCGGCAGGCCACCTGCCCAGCCACGTGTCCATGCGCTGGAGCACCCAACCACGGACAGACACGGGCAGGGGCCAGACCGCACCAAGCCCACGCCACACCCCAGGGGCCGGGGCGCAGGAGGAGGGGAGGAGGAGGATGGAGGAGGAGAGGAGGAGGAGGAGAGAGGCGGAGGAGGAGGGGAGAGGAAGTGAGGAGGAAGGAAGAGGAGGAGGAGAGGAGGAGGAGAGGAGGAGGCGAGGAGGGGGAGGAGCAGGAAGAGGAAGCAGGAGGAGGAGGAGCGAGGAGCAGGGGGGGGGGACGGGGAGGAAGTCGCCCTTCTCATCGTGTTTCTCCCGTTCCCCGACTGGTTTGCGAGGGGTCCGCCCTTGTACTTATGTGTGTAGTATATACAGGCATACGTACATCTATGTATCATAGACATACACATACATACACGCGTTATGTTAGTGCCGATGGGTGAGGGCTGTCCGTGAAGGCCAGGTGGTGCCGGGAGAGCGCGTTCACGAGGAGGAGGAGCAGGAGGAGTTGGAGGAGGAGGAGGAGGAGGAGGAGGAGGAGGAGGAGGAGGAGGGGGAGGAGGAGGAGGAGTTCCCCCTGCCCGCCGCCCCTCCGCGGTCAGAAGGGCCACTTCGGGCTCGGGCTGGGGCGCGGATCGTTTCCGGGCCGCTTCCCCGGCCGACCCTGGCGTCCCCGCTCCTCGCGCTGCGCTCCGCGCGGTGGCACGAGGGCTGTGCGCCCCAGGGGATGGTGGGGGGCGGTCCCTGGGGGACGAGCCGGCCCAGACTTTGGAAGGGGAGGCTGGGTCGGGGGAGAGGCACGAGAAGCAAGGGGGGTGAGATGAGGAGGAGGGAGAGCGGGGGGAGGGCGAGCAGGAGAAGGAGGGGCGGCAGGAGGAGTGGCCTGCGCTTCGAGTGGCAAGCGTCTCTGGTCTCTGCTCGCCAGTCGGTTCGCCGGCGTGAGCGGAGGACCAGCCCTTGTCGTCGAAAGCAGGAGGAGCAGCAGGGGGAGGAGCAGGGGTGCCGAGGAGAAGAGCTGAAGCAGCAGAGGAAGCAGGAGGAGGAGGAGGAGCACGAGGAGGAGGAGGAGGAGAAGGAGGAGCAGGAGGAGGAGGAGGAGGAGGAGGAGAAGCGAAGGGCCAGTCTTTGTCGACAAGGGCAGGAGGAGAAGGAGCGGGAGGAGCAGGAGGATGGACGGCGAGGAGGAGGGCGAGGGTGGCAAGGGGCACCCAGCCCGGGCTGCTCGGAGGACCCGTACCTGTCGGGGCGCGCGGCGGTGGCCTACGT